CAGTTCCGGGTGGTGTAGGGCAGATGGCTCCGAAGATTTTAAAAGATATGTTTCTTATTAAATTTTTTAAGAGATGTGTAGGAAAGGTTGGAAGTGGAGCCATTGATCTGAGAAGAATTTATATGTATTGGGTTTGATTTTCTCACTTCTGGCAGCAGGTGTGTCTGCCTTTTGTTAGTGAGGGAAGACATGTGATTTTTTTTTTTGTCCCCTACAGTCTTTCTATTTTATTTATTTATCCAACTTTCCAGATCCATGTATTACTTTTCTCCCTGTGTCTACTGATATTAATCCTGTTGCTATTATAGCACTAGAAATGTTGAAGAGAGGTGAAGGCATAGTTGGGAGATTGTCTACTCCCCATCCTAGGAAATTTGTAATAAATCTTAGAGCATGAATAACTAATGGATTGGAAGATTTACTTACAAAATGAAATATGGCCATCTTCCATCTAGGTAAGGATGTAGAGAAATAACTGTGTTTCGTTAGAAATGCAAATAAAATTCTTTAGTAAAACAGACACACAGATAATCATGTCACTTTTCCTGAAGCCACTTTCACCAAAAAGCTCACCACTGTTAGGTTTAGCATCAGTTTTCTGACCGATGCATTTGAGGAAGCTTTGTAATCTCTCATAGAGCTCATGTGTGTTTGAAAAAAGGAATAATTTGTTGCATTTGATCTTCCTCATGGATACACATGGTTTTCTTGGTTTACCTTATCTTATTCCTGGAAATTGTCCACTAATATAATATGGACTTATATAAAGCAGTGTTTTTGAGTTGACACCCATTATGGTGGCTAAGTGTATAAATTTATGAAAATTGATTGTGATTTTATTGGCCAGCTTTCTCATCACTGGGACCAAAAACCTGACACACACAGCTTAAAGGAGGAGAGGTTTCATTTAGCTCACTGTTTCAGGGGATTCAGTCCATGGTTACCTGGCTCCAAGGCAGAAACATCAGAGTGGAAAAGTATGGTGGAACAAAAGTGCTCAGCTTATGGTGGCCTGGAAGCAAAGTGGGGGAACAGGACCATGGACCAGATATAGACTCTGAGGTCACCCCTGCATGACCCACTGAGACACCCAGAACTGTGCCTTGCTAATTCCCTAGGCAGCTCCCAAGCCAATCAAGTTGACAGCTAAGCTCACCTGTCACAGTGATCCTGTTTTGTGAACATTTTCCTGGATTATAATAATGACAGGTTGAGAAGTATCAAGTCAACTGAGAGTAAATAGGAGGAATGAGTTATATGTTTTAGATAATTAAGGTTCTTTTATTAATTATTACTAATTTTGGCTTTTGACTTGCCATTTTTTAAGAGTTGAGTGTTCCATAGAAATGGAAAATTTATAACTCTTGATCTCTGGGAGCAAAACAATTATTTTTAAAGACAAAGTGCACTTTTTCTTTTTTTTATAAATGCAAATTGTGCTTTAATCATTATGTGACATCATTGTAGCCAGCAATGTTTCGAGTTTAGAGGAGGAAGTATTTCAATTTTTAGAATTCCTTTGAAGGGGCAAAAGGAGTAGATCATGAAACACGTGTGAATAAATAACTGAAGAAATTTCAGATGCCCTAGTACCTGAAATGAGTGCCTCCTACGAGTTTTCTAGATGAGGGATGATAATTTCCCATCTCGGGAAGCCATCTCCTTGCTTTCTCTATCTCTTGAATCCCTTCTCATTTGAGAAAGACCTTCTTCCTACTTCTTTTACTTTGCTCTTTATTTATAATTTGGATTTCTCCAATAACAGAAATCACACTATTTAAGCTTGTGGGTCTGATTTATTTCACTTTCTAGACTCAAGGTGCATTTATTTTCCTACAAATGACTCATTTATCCTTCTTTATGGCAGAGTAATACTCCATTGTGTGTAAAAACCACATTTTCTTTATCCATTCATCTGTTGATGGACTTATAGGCCACTTCCAAGACTTTGCTATTATGAATTGTGCTGCTATAAACATGGTATGCATGTATCATTGTAATATGTCTTCAACTCTTTGGAGAAGATACTGAGAAGGGGAATACCTGGGTCTTAAAACTGTTTAAATTTTAACTTTTGGTAGGCTGGGAATCAAACTCAGGGCCTCACACATGCCAGGCATGTAGTCTACCACTGAGCTACGTCCGCAGCCCCTTCTCTGATATTTTTGGTATTTGTTATCTTTGTCCAGTGTACCCAGTAGGCTCACTGAGGCTTTTTGAACCTGACTGTTGGCTTAATATTCTGTTCATTTCACATAACTGTTTATTTACCAGCAAAAGGATTTCTTGCCATTTATTTTGCAATTCAGTTGACACTGTGGTTTGGTCACCACAGATTTGGGTTGCCTTCCAGCTCAACTAGCCAGCTGTCTCTTAGTTTCTAATGACAGAGGATCTAACTTCTGATGTGAGAACCCCAGACAAGTTCTGGCAGTTGATTTCATTCCCCTGGCTCTGAGTGGCAAGCTGCCAAGAACGGACACTCATGTTCTGTGGGTGATCGAGTGCCTGTGGAGATAGCCATGCTGCTCCAGCTGAGGTTTGAAGACAGCCGCCTCTTTTTTAGGTCAAGGAGTTAAAATAACCCTACATATTTTCCAGATGCCTCCTTGTTTTTGTTGTTGTGCCAAAAGGGACTTTAGAGAGTGATTGGGCCAGGGATTTAGCTCAGTGGCACAGCGCCTGCCTGGCAAGCACGAGGTCCTGAGTTCGATCCCTGGTACAATATATATATATGTATATATACACACACACACACACACACACACAGAGAGAGAGAGAGAGAGAGAGAGAGAGAGAGAGAGAGAGAGAGAGAGATCATGGTATGTGACACGGGCTCATTATTTTGAATATGTTAGAACCAATACCGAGTGAGGTTTGTGATACTAAATGAAGGGTCTGCTTATTTTTTCTGTGCAGAAGGTCTTTCAACAGATGAAATAAAAAATGTTCTGGAGAAGATTTTATCAGAGTGGAAGACTATATCTCAGCATCTGGAAGATCTGACAAGAAAGGTTAAGGTTCAGGAAGATATGAACGCTTATTTTAAGCAACTCGATGAACTTGAAAAGATCATAAAGACGAAGGAGGAGTGGGTGCAGCAACACACACCCTTTTCTCAGTCTTCGCAGAGTTCCTTGCCTAGTTTGGAGGCCTCCTGTCAGGTGAGAGGCCAGGCTTGTCCCACACACTAGCATTCTGTGCCCACTCCATCTAGGAGGGAGCACTTGGGTAACCCACTTGCGCTTTCTGTCGGGACGTTTGTCTCCACGGAGTTACGTGACCATGTTTTCTGTTCTGTAGAGGGAGCTGACATACCTCCTGGACCTCCAGCCCAGAATCGAGACGGTGCGGATGAGCTGCTCTGCCCTCCAGTCCGAGCCTTCCATCCCAGGGTTTGTCCAGGCGGACTTCCATGACCTCGTGGTCCGCCTCCAGGCTGTGAGGGTGGTTTTACAACGTCATCAGCAACAGCTGGCCAAGGGTAAGTCCACTCCCTTGTTTTTCTTGCTCAGTAACTTTAATATCTCCTCTCTCAGTTCACCTTCATCTAAACATTGCTTCAGAAATTTATACCTCAAGTGTACTTGGGTTTCATACTGGTTTCATTCTTTTCCTCTGTGCCTGTGTGGATCAAGGTCTTCAAGTACATTTGGTCTTTTTTCTGGACCCTCACATTGGACTTTAAAAACCCAAGCTGGACCCGAGTTCGATCTCTGGTACCAAAAAAAAAAAAA